AGTATTCGTCCATAACGATAAACATTTTTAATTAGTTTACGGCAATTTGGACAGCATTTAAGGCTTCCCGGCTTGTCAACAATAGGTTTTATCCCAACCCAATTTCCTTGGTTGTCACAATGATAAAATTCTTTCATCTTTTTGATGAAGAGGTAAACATAGGTTAGTCAAATTCAATGTATTAAATGAGAGAGGTCATTATTAGCTTACCTCTAAAAATGCGTCCAATGTTTCGGCCGTAAATACATGACCGCAGTCAAGAACTACCATGAGCTCTGTTTTCCAATCAGTCTCGGCAAATGTAGATTGCATTATCAAATCAACGACTAAATTTCGGTTGTAGTTAATTTAAGTGAATGAACAATGCTTAACTTTTAACCGTAAATATCAAGCGAAACTCAATGACTACCTTGGTTCTTTACATTCTCCGGAGCACATTCCACACAAAATTTGGAGGAAGGACAAACCTCCCCACAAATACCAAAGCTGTAAAAGTAAGAAGACACATCACGAATATTAGTTGAAGCTTGGCCCACGGGTATCAGAAATAACCGGAATTAATAACTTGCCATTTGTGTCCGCACTCAAGAGACCTCTGACAATGCTTATTACATGGTAATCTAAGTAAAAAAATTACATGAGAATGCTTTGTTAATACAGTATTTCGAAAAGTTGAACAAATTGCTAAAAAATAAACGAATGTTAACCTCGAACACGGTACACCACATGGAAGATTGCATTCTCCTATTTTTTTTTATAAAAAAATTAGTATCATCTTGTTAACAAATATTAAAATTGCTTTACAATAATAATAACTAACCTTCATGCTCACATGACCAATTACACCGTTCTGCACACACTGAGCAAGGCTCGCCACACTTGAGCTCACATTTTGTGTGATTGCAAGAAACATTACAGACGTCCTTACATTCTGGACAAGGATTGCCTGTATGACATTTTTCCTTACAACTAAATATTTTTAGTAATAGATAACTATATGTCAACAGTTTCATGATCAATGAGTAATCTTAAATTCAATATAATAATACAAACACATGGCCGCAAAATTGATTCCTCGCACAATCTTGTTTACAT